AGGTTATAGGGGGAATAAATGGTGATGGGGGAATAAATTACAGAAAAAATAAAAGAAAAACATTTAAAACATCATTTCCAATAGGCTATGGAACAAAACACACATGGTTATGTTGACTGATAGAGAAAAAACATTTGACAAAATTTAACACCCATTCAAAATAATGAAAAAATTCAGCAAATAGGAACATGGGAAACCTTCTAAATTTGATAAGAAACCTCTATGAAGAAAACCTTAAGACTAACATCATACTTAATGATGAAAACCTGAATGTTTTTCCTCTAATATGAGGAACCAGGCAGGAATATCTTTCTCACTACCTAGTATTCAACATTATTTTGGGAATCCTAGCTACTGCAGTAAGACAAGAAAAAGAAAAGATATACAGATGAGAAGGAAAAAAACTATGTCTATTTGCTAATTATACTTCCATGTGGAAAAATCCCAAGCATTCTATCAAATAAATGGTTACAGTTCAGCAAGTTTGCATGATGCCAAAATAACATCCAAAAATCATTACATTTGTATACTACCAAAGATTTATAAAAATTGTACAAAACCTGTTATTGAAATTTATAAAACAGTACTGATGCAAATCAAATACTTGGAGACATACCATGTTGAATAAATGGAAGACCCAACACAATAAAGATGCCTATTCTCAACAAACTGATCTGCCAATTTAGCTCAATTTCTAATAAAATTTGATAATTTTTTTGGTAAAAAAAAAGTCAAGTATACCTAAAATTTTACGTAGAAACGAAAAGTAACTGAGAGTGATAAACAAGTTTCAAATAAAAGATGACAAAAGAATCATTTTACCCAATTAAAAAATTTACCATATAACTATAGCAATCAAGTAATCCAATAGTACAGGGCCATGAAAATGTCTTAAGTATTAGGTCTTTAAAACCACATGAAGAAAAGATTTGTTTAAAAATCAAAGCCTAAAAACAGCATTAACTGGTGTAATAAATGTGAATGTTCATATGTGTAGTTTTATCTCCTCAAAAGAAAAGTATTTGATGGTTCAGCCCGTATTTCTCACAAAAACTAAGCTCAAGAGTAGAAACAATGGCCCTGGCCAGGTGGCTCAGTTAGTTGGAGCGTCAGCCCGTAAACCAAAAGATGGCGGGTTCAATTCCTGGTCTGGGTACATACCTAGGTTGGGGGTTCAATCCCCGGTCGGCGTTCGTGCAGGAGGCAACCAATTGATATCCTTCCTCGCATCCATCTCTCTCTCTCTCTCTCTCCCCCTTCCTCTCTAAAATCAATGGAAGCATGTCCTCAAGTGAGGATTTTAAAAAAAAAAAGAGTACAAAGTTTTAGAACAAAGATGTTCAATGAAAGTTTCCAGACTTACTCTCAACTGTCTAACTCTCTGAACACTGTACTACAATGAATGTATGTACAAGACACATAAAGACCCTAGGTCCTTTACCTCTGACACAAAACTCTCCTCCTAAACTAAACTAAGAAATCCGTGACAAAGTGCCATAGGCATGGCAAGGAGTCTGAAAGAAACTGGATGTAGTTCATTTTTTCTAAGTCTCTCCCTTCTTTTTAAAAAAAAATTCCTGAGATAACACTGCAGCGTAAACTAAGGGTAAAGATGTAGCTGAAGGTTTTCTAAGTGCCTAATAACCACTGGGTCTCTCTCCTGGGTGAATTCTCTGGTGTAGAATAAGGCTCTAGGCAGGGTCAATTTCCAATATGACTCGTTAAGAGGACAACTGATATCTTGCAATAGGTTTTCTCACAGGGGAGAAAATTGTGGGGTTTCTCTTTGGTATGAATGATTAGAGTCTGAGTAAGATGTTTCTTCTGGCAAAACGTTTTCCACAGTGTTTACATTCAAAAAGTCTTTCCCCAACAGGAGTTCTTGGAGGTTGACTGAGGACTGTCCACTTGTAAAGGGTCTTTCCACTTCTGTTACACTGACAGGGTTTCTCCCAGTATGAACCCTCTGATGCTGACTGAGGGAAGAGCTGCGACTGAAGGCCTTTCCACATTCACTGCATTCATAGGGCTTCTCTCCAGTGTGGATGATGGAGTGTCGAATGAGGTTAGTGCTCCAGCAGAAAGTTTTCCCACACTCCATGCACTCATAGGGCTTCTCTCCACTATGAATCCGCTGGTGCCTCGTGAGGCCTGACCTGCGGTTGAAGGCCTTCCCACACTCACTGCACTCATAGGGCTTCTCTCCAGTGTGGATGCTGAAGTGCCGAATGAGGTCAGCCCTATTGCTAAAGGCTTTCCCACATTCTTTACACTCAAAAGGTTTTTCTCCAGTGTGGGCTCTCTTATGCAAGATAAAAGTGGAGCAGTGGGTGAAGGCCTTTCCACACTCACCACACACATACGGCTTCTCCCCAGTGTGGATCCGCTGGTGCCTCTTGAGGTACGACCTGTGGTTGAAGGCCTTCCCGCACTCGAGGCACTCAAAGGGCTTCTCCCCAGTGTGGATGACATAGTGGTGAATGAGGGCGGCACTCTCACAGAAGGCTTTCCCACACTCACTGCACTCATAGGGCTTCTCCCCAGTGTGCGTCTGCTGGTGCCACATGAGGTATGACTTGTGTTTGAAGACCTTGCCACACTCGAAACACTCATAGGGATTCTCGCCACTGTGGATGATGTAGTGTCGAATGAAACCTGGCCTATCTCGGAAGGCTTTTCCACATTCTTTGCACACAAAGGGTTTTTCGCCAGTGTGGCTTCTGTTATGCAAGACAAAAGTGGAGCGGTGGGTGAAGGCCTTTCCACATTCATTGCACTTATAGGGTTTCTCTCCACTGTGAATCCGCTGGTGTTGTGTAAGGTGTGACTTGCGGTTGAAGGCCTTCCCACACTCCATGCACTTATATGGCTTCTCCCCTGTGTGGACCATGTGGTGTTGAAGGAGGTAAGTGCTCTTACTAAAGGTTTTCCCACACTCTGTGCATTCATAGGGCTTCACGCCAGAGTGAATCCTCTCATGTCGAGCAAGGAGGCGTTTCTTGTTAAACACTTTCCCACACTCATTGCATTTAAAGATACTTTCCTCTTCCTGAATCATGGGATTTTTACCTAATCTGCATGAATCATGGTCAAGGACAGCACCTCCTGGAAGGACTGGCTCCTGCACAGTCCTTGAACACACCCCATCAGCTGTCCCTAAGCCACCATGTTCAGAGCTTGACTTCCTAGGAAGCTTCTCCTTCCGCAGTTCTATCTCTGATTTCAACTGTCTTTCTTGCAATTCCAATGGCCCATTCTGATCCTTGGTTTGGTCCACATGGAAGTCTTCTGGGGATTCAGCTCCTTGTGTTAGCTGTTCCTGAAATGAGGCTCCCTCAAACAGGGCAGGTTCACAAGTAGTAGGTTCTGTGGTCTTGAGTTTACCCTTCTCACCTGAAAGAAATCCAATACACAACAGAGCCTGTTAGTAATACCAACATTTTTTTAAAAAAAGCATTTCAGCGATTAAAAAAAAGGTGAAAATAATGCTTCTGTGTCTGCTATGTTTTGTTACCTCTGAATACCAGGATTGTAATTTTTTCTTTCCTAGTCCTTGAAACTATTGACACCTTGAATGGGAGACACAGGGAAGTAGCTGGATTACAGGGCAGAGTGCTAGAGAAGAAACAGTCAATTCCAGACAGGATATTTATGCAAATAGGTAACTCATTTGGGACCCGACATAGTTTATGTTAAAGAGATGACTCAGGGCAAGGCCTAGCCACAGTAAAAAGACTAACCATATGATTAGAGGGTTGGGACATTGAGCTATATGACAACAACTGGGCTTCTGGAAAAAGATGGAGGAGGGCAGGAGACTGAGTCACGTAGGTAATTAGTCATTCAACTGTGCTTATGAAATAAGAGTCAATAAAACCCTGAACCCTGAAGCCAAGTGAAACTCCTAGGTTGGAAATACTTCATGCATGTATTGTTAACAGCAATGCTAGGAGTTTAATGAGTCCCTGAGGACATGGCAGCTCATGTTTGGAACTCCTCCAAAAACTCTTTGAAAAACACCCCGATGCAGACCTACTAGACAAAGATTTTTTAAAAAGTATCTTGTCGATGGCCATACCACCCTGAATGCACCCCATCTTGTCTGATCTCAGAAGCAAAGCAGGGTTGGGCCTGGTTGGTACTTGGATGGGAGACCACCTGGGAATACTAGGTGCAGTAGGCTTAAAAAACAATAAAAACGTAAATAAATAAATCATCTTAGAGAAGTTCAAAGAGCTGAAAGATGATACGGATAAACTCAAGAAAATTATATATAAACAAAAGGAAATATCAATAAAGAACTAGAAAACCTAAAAAGAAAAAAAAAATTTCTGAAACAGAAGAGTGCAATAAGTGAGATAAAAAATTTACAAGAGAGACACAAAGATTTGAAGACGAATCAGCAAACTTGAAGATAGGCGAATGGAAATTATCATGTCTGAGGAACAGAAAAAGAAGTGACCAGAGCCTAACAGCCCTATGATATACCATCAAGGGAACTGATATACTCATAGTGGGATTCCCAGGAGGAGGAGAGAGAAAGGTTAAGAGAGGACACTTGAAGAAATGGCTTGAAACTTCCCAAATCTGAATAGATATCAACATGAACATCCAAGAACCTCAATGCAAGAAAGATGAACTCAAATAGTGTCACATGGAGAAAAATTATAATCAAACTTTTGAATGGCAAAGACAAAGAGAACATCTTGACAGCATGCATAAAACAAGGATGGTTTGACATATGAAAACTGACCAATGTAATACACATTAACATAATGAAAGAAAAAGCCAACATAATCTCCTCAGTTGATGTAATAAATACTACCAACAGCTTGCTTTGCATGAGCCACTTACGATGGATCAGATGCTGTGCTAAGCAGTTTCATGCATTAATGCATTATGAGATTACATCCCCCAACAACCCAAAGACAGAGGCACCATTACGACTAACATCTTCCAGGGACTAACCAAGTGTAGCAGACTCCTCACCAAAGCATCTGCTCCTCACACTGGACATACAGCCTCACCACAATTCTCAGCTTCACACGCCCAAGTATGTTCAAATGCCTAGTTCTCTTCAGTGGGATGTGAGGGAAACTGGTGTCTGTGGGAGTGGATGTGACATCCTTCCTTTCTCCATTCTCCTCTGCCAGCTAGGACACCCTGAAAACCACATGTTGACGAAAGAACTAACATGGGTCCCTCAATAACTGCATGGTACAAAGCTCCCTGCTGACCCCCATGGGTCCTGCTGTGAGAAAAAGAGCTTCCATATGTTGAGCACTGAGATTCTGGACTCTGTCTGATCCACAGGCTATTTTTAACTTATACAAAGACACTAGAAGATTGTGCAACTTTGCTACGGCCACAGAGCTGGTAATCAGCAAGTCGGGCTTTGAACCCCAACAGACCTTAGCTCATACAGCTCTGTCCTCGATGAGGACAGAGGGCCCACAAGTCAAAGGGCTCCATGGCTTCCAAACCACTAGACAGGCCACAACAAGAGCCTTCCTCAGGGATCCACGGCCAGTGGTCTCCTGAAGGTATCAAGGCTGCAGGGTCTTCCATTTGCTCACATCTTGGCTCCTACCTGGACAGGTGCTGTGGAAGAGGTCTTCCTTCCCCATCCATAGCTCCTGCCTGTGCTCCAGCTGGCAGATCAGCTCAGGTCTTGGAAGAGGACACCCTGTTCACAGAGAAGGAAAGAGGACACAAGGATTTATTACTTATTTACTTATTTATTTACACTATTGAGGACTGAAGGATTTTTGTGAAAGGAAATAAAAACTCTCAATCTAGTCTGGGACTTCAGGATGTGGACAAGATTCAGAAGGAAGCTCCTCCCATCCACAGAAAATGCTGACATGTGACTTGAAGCCAAAGATATGCTACACTGACATGGAGTTTTTACTCCTAATACGAAGTCAGAATCTAATAAAGAGTATAATCAGTCAAAGGACTGTGTCAAGCAATATAAATGCTTTATATCGTTTCAAAATTGAAATGAATTTATGAAGTAAACAACTGACATTTAAAATATTGACTCTTTTCATTCAAAACACAGTATGTATCTTCAGTGATCTAGGTATTTTTCCCCCATTTAAAAAATAATGTATTGATTTTAGAGAGAAAAGGGAACAAAAACAGGGAGGGGGGAGCAAGCAAGGGACATGGATGTGAGAGAGACACATAGACTGGTTGCCTGCCACAGGTGCCCCAACTGGGGTCCAGGATTGAGCCTGCAACAGAGGGACGTGCCCTTGGCTGGAATCGAACCTGAGACCCTTCAGCCCTCGGGCTGATGCTCTAACCACTGAGCCATGCCCAGCCGGGCTAGGTCGCTTTTTAGATCCTAAGCAAAGCTTTATACTGTTCTTCCTACTGACCACAGACAAAACGCGATTCTATTTCAGGTTTTCCTCATAGCATCACCAGCAAGTACAAACTGTGATTAATACAATTTTATGGAAGATGAAACCAGGGCTCAAGCAGATGATTCGCAAAAGAGAACAGAAGCAGTGAATGCCAGAGCCAACGTAGAACCCACCAGATGGCAGAAGCATCTTCATGCTGGCTGTGACCAAAAATGAGTCCAGACATTGCCAAGCTTCCCCTGGGGAAAAACACTGTCACTGGCTTCGAAAAATATAAACAAGGTGATGGAAGAAACAAGTGTGATGGGAGAAGCTGCCATGATATCCTGTGGGTCGGAACAGCTGGTGAGGAGGTGGTGACTAAGCTGAAATGTAGTGACCATGTGGAAGGATGAGCTTCCCAAGAAACTCACCAGGCAGACAGAACAGTAAGTGCAGAGACCTGGGGCAGGTATGTGTGTGGGGAGCTGGTAACAAGCCTAGCAAGACTGGAGGAGATTGAGCTGGGGAAAGCATGTGAAGGTCAGTGATAAGGTTATAAAGTATCTAAATATATCAAACATTTCCTAATTTTATCTACGCAGGCCTTACTCCGCCTGGGTTAAAGGGTACTGGGTTCAATTCCCAGTCAAACGCACATACCTGTGTTGCGGTTCAATCTTTGGCCCCGTACTAGGAGGTAACCAGTTGATGTCTGTCTCTCTCCCTCCCTCTGCCCCTCCCTCCCCACCATTCTCTCTCAAAAAAATCAAAAGAAAAAATATCCTTGGGTGAGAATTAACCAAAAAAAAAGACAACAAAAAAGTGGAACAACAAATCAAAGTTTCTCTCTCTCCCTTCCTCTCTCTCTCAAAATCAATAAATAAAATTTTTAGAAAAAGAAAAAAATGACAGAGGCTGTGGGGAGGAGGAAAGGCGGCTCCTGAGACCTCCTTGATCAGCCAGGTCTGTAGCCAAAGGGTGGAATTAGGAAGTGGCAGGTCCCCCACGCCAGGGGAAGGACTTACCCAGAGATACCAGGAGCCTGCAATTTTCCAGCATCACCTCCTGGTACAGGGTCCTCTGGGTTGGGTCCAGCTGCCCCCACTCCTCCTGGGTGAAGGTCACGGCCACATCCTCGAAGGTCACAGACACCTGGAAAGTCAAACAGACATAGCAGAGTTGGCCTTGGAGCTGCTGGGGATGGGATTGGCGATCGTCTCTGCATCATGGTCAAGCTGCAGACATCACGGCCCAAAGCACCAAGCACCTCCTGGGGGCCCAGCTCATGCAATGCTGTGGACATACTACAACAGTGTAGGAGAGAAGCCTCCTATCAGGAGCCACTGTAAACTGATATAAGACAATGGAAATGACATGTGGATTGTGAGATGCAGACAGTAAGAGCTCTAAAGAGTCAGAGAAATGAGAAATATGATAATAATAATATCAGTAATAGTAATAACAGATGTACCTCACCCTCACTGGTCCTACCAGGTGCCTGCCCCATGCTGAGAGCTTCACACCATGCCTTTTCCCCCCCATTACAGTTAACATTCAATATTATTTTATATTAGTTACATCATGTCTTAAAGTGGCTAAAAGTCCCCAGTTCCTTTTTATCAATGATGAATAAGTTCATTAGCTCATAAAAATCATTGCCTAGAAATACGGGAATACAAGAGAAAAATATTTGCAGTCAGGTGTCTGGTGGTCAACAGCCAGGACAATTCACAAAGGGGTCAAAAAATCAGACTCCAAAGCCACGGGACAAATCTCCAGCTCTCATGTCATCATTTTCACCAGTGGCTCCTGACTAAACACACTGCATATGGAGTTTGCAATGTTACTCTCGCCACCCTATTCTACACAATGTCCTCCATGCAGAATGTCCAGCAGGTGCAGGACCACAGCCCTGTGATGACCAGGCCCACTCATTAAACACAAATAATCCAGCCACTCCACTCTCACACACCTCACTATTGCAGATCTGTCATTTAAATGCTCCCAGACATTGACTGGTTCATGGTTTTTCACCTGCACCTTCAGTGCTCACCTCCCTGTGCTTTGTAGCTTTATCCTATCAGGTGTTTTTTCTTTCTTAAATATATCTTTATTGATCTCAGAGAGAGGTAAGGAGAGGGAGAGAGAGAGAGAAACATCAATGATGAGAGAGTCACTGATCGGCTGCCTCCTGCACGCCCCCCCACTGGGGATCGATCGAACAACCCAGGCACGTGCCCCAACCAGGAATCCAACCTCGATCGCCTGGATCCTAGGCGGACGCTCAACCACTGAGCTACGCCCGGCTGGGCTCTATCAGTTTTCTTGACTTAATATTTCAATTAAACACTTGGCAATTCCTAATAAATGAACTGGTCCATACTAAGTGTGTGAGACGCTGCAATATTACTCATTTCTGGTGCTAGATAAACTCAAATCATGTACAAATTTTAGACAAGTACGTAAGGATAAAAAAAGCCAACTAGGGCTTCCACGTTTACTACCAGATAATGTATGTTTAAATAATATAAACTCCCTGCCCTGGCCGGGTAGCACGGTTGGTTAGAGCATCGTCCAGATACACCAGATTGCAGGTTCAGTCCCAGGTCAGGGCACATACAAGTCAACCAACGGATGGGTAAATAAGTGGAACAACAAATTGATGTTTCTTTCTTTCTCTCTCCACCACCCATCCTATCTCTAAAAAATAAAAAGTTAATAAATTAATTTAAAAAAATAATATGGCCCGGCAGGGCGTGGCTCAGCGGTTGAGCCTCAACCTAGGATCCAGGTGATCGGGGTTTGATTCCCCGTCAGGGCACATGCCCGGGTTGCAGGCTTGATCCCCAATGACTCTCTCATCATTGATGTTTCTCTCTCTTTCTCTCCTTTCCTCTCTCTGAAATCAATAAAGGTATATTTAAAAAATAATAATAATAAATAAAAATAATATAAGCTCTGACATGCAATCACACAGCATGACTGGTCAGGGTGCATATATAGCTTTCTCTGGTTGGTTTTAAGTTGGAAGTGGGTTAAAAAAATTAGAAAAAGGGACAGTTACGAGTCAAGTCCTGGCCATCTGGGGCCGACGGTTACCGAAGTTACTTCGTGGGCTGTCGCTAAAGACAGCGACCTGGCGACTGGCAAGCCCGGCTCGGCGGCTGCTCCCCGCGCTGTTCGCGGCAGGTAAGGGGCTGGGTTCCCCGGCAGTGGCTGCAGGTTCGAGTCGAAGTGCTTTGCGTCTGGCCACTGCCCGTTCGGACGTCCAGTCCCTCCCGTTCTGAGACTGCGGACACGCGACCAACCGGCCCCCTTCAC